TCCCATTACTCCAGTCACTGAATCAATCCATCTCATCAAGGCTCTTCCTCTCTTGTGCTGTCCCTCCACCCTCCGATGCATGACGTCCCTCTCCAAGGTCTGGTGCTGCCTTGTGACAGGTCCAAAGTATGTCAGATAAAGCTTCAGAATCCTTGTCTCCAAAGAGCAGCCAGGCTTCACCTTCTCCAGTATGAACTTGTCTGTTCTCCTAGCAGTCCATGGTATATTCAATACTCTTCTCCAGTACCACAGATCAAAGACATCAGTTCTCCTTCTATCACCCCCTAGTCATTTAATTGTCCAGCTTTCTGATGTATAACAAGTAATTGCAAAGACCATGGCCTGGATCAGGCACATCTTAGTCTCTAGGCTGACATCATTGCTTTTCAATATTTTGGAGAAGTCTCTGATGGGAGACTTTCCCAATGCAATTCATCTTTTCATTTCCTGGATGCTGGTACCAAGAGTGTTAATTGTGGAGCCAAGCAAACTGAAGCTGTTAACAATCTCAATATTCACTATTCAGCATCATGCTGCTAATTGGCCCAGTGGTGAGAATCTTCATTTTCTTTATGTTGAGCTCCAATCTATACTGAAGGCTGCAGTCCTTGACCGGGTCCTCCTCAGTTTCACAAGTAGGGTTGTGTCATCAGCATGACACAGACTGTTGATGAGTCTTCCTCCAATCTTGATGCCACATGTCTCCTTATAGAGCCCAGCCTCTTGGATCATCTGTTCAGCATATAGATTGAAAAGATATGGATATAGGACACATCCTTGGCACACACTCTTTCCAATTTTGAACCAGGAAGTATTTCCTTGTTCTGTTCTGATGACTGCCTTCTGGTCTAAGTATAGGTTTCACATAAGCAAAATCAAATGTTCTGGATTCCAATTCTTCTCAGAGTCAGCCATAGTTTATTGTGATCTACACGCTCAAATGCCTTTGCATAGTCAATGAAACACACAGAGACATTCATCTGGTAATCTCTGAGTTATCTGCTTTAATTAAACATATTAATTCATTTTATTCCCCTAAAGTCAAGTGAACAACAAAATAACATTGAAGAACAATACTGAGAATTTGTAAAATTGAAAATTGTAAATTCTAAGCAAAGAACAAACATTTGGCTAACTTTCAAATACTTAAAAGTGAGGTATTCTATCACACTTCTTATACGTTCTAAGATCTGTTGTGAATGATAAGTAAAGACTTACTTCATCCAGTCGCCGTTCAGTTCCCAAGGCCAAGAGGTTGTTATATTCCCTTTCAAGTATCTGCCTTGCCTGTAGATATCAAATTACAGTTAAAATCATTTTACTGAAAGAAATCATATAGATTATATTTGTTTGATAATGCATTCCAAACTGCTTTACTTATAGGGTCTTACATTTCCATTTTTCATTAAGTCTTTGACAATTCTATTATAAATATCAAGTAAGACTATTTTCTTTTGTCTGCGGGGGTAGAAGTAGCCTCATATATTGTAGCCAGAAATTTAGGGGCCTTGACATCATTTTGCTGCTTTATTCTAATTGAATATTTTACATGACTTTTTGAAATATACTTTGAAAAAATAACAATAACAAAAAAGACCCCAAAAAACACCCAATAAAAAAACCCAAAAGTACAGTTGAAAGGCCAACAACTTCTTTGCTATCAAGATTGCTCATTTAATTCTCAGACCTGGCTGTTAATTATCATATAAGAGTACTTTAGAAAAAACATTTCAATGACATAGCTGCTGATATTAGATTCCTTATGGCTGTGAATTGGGTTGGAGGCTTTCATTTTTATTTTTAAGGAACTTTGGTAATTTAAATAATCATCCTGATTTGGGAATTACTCCATATCCAAGGCGAAGTGTCTGTATAATTCAGACTTGTAAATAGAATTCACTGCCTCTCAGAGATGCGGAGACTGAAGGCCATCTGTCAGAAAAATTAATTTGGGGAATCTGGCATTCAGATGGGAGGTTGGACCACACAACCTCTAAAGCCCTTTCCATTTTAATTTTTAAATTCTATTTTGGCTAGAAATCCAGTAGCTTGAAATGAATACCCCAATGACAAAGATGGAGCTAACTCTTATTAAGAATCATGAATATACAGCCAACTTCTAAAAGTTTAGGTTGTCATGGGGTAAACCAGGGCACAGCACAACTAGTGCAAGAGGGGCTTGCCTGGGTGTTCTGTGTTGGAATCTGCAGTAATAAAGCTAAGCTGCTGTAGTCAAAGTTCTCATCCAGGGCTATAAGCGAACCATGCACGCCGCTCTCAAGAATATTATTTGCATAATCTCGAAGTCCAATTGCTTGTATCCAGCGAATAACCCGGTCATTGCTCCACACCAGCACATCTAGGAAAAGAGGTGTACTATTTTAGGCTTCAATATTTTGTGTAATAAACAAAATCAGTGGTGAAAATGAGCCACAGGTATATAGATCTGCCATCCTTACCGCACCACCTAATAATGCACCTGACACCCTTGTAATAAGTGTGTTCACTGTTTGAAATAACGAACCTGTTCTACGATTTAACTAAGACAAGAAGTTGCCTTTATCACAGAGTGTTAAATGAACATTGGACCCCATGTCTCAAAGTCTTAATTTTTTGTGGCATAAGGGGTCAGTCTGAACTCCTTTGATTTTACCACCAGATGGAGACATTTCTTATGTGTCTTATACCCATCTTTCCAGTAAATAGCAAAATGATAAACTAGTAATGATTCTTTATCAGAAGTGTTAATTAACTACTAGTTTAATATTGCATAGACTACAAAAACTTCTTTACACCTTAGATAGTATATAAGAAAAGAGAAAGATATTATTTGATTTATACTTTTCTATTGCTTAATAAATTATTGTCTTCTAATAAAGACTATTTTTTTCTATGGAAAATGAAGACAATTTTTTTACTTTAGAAAAAAAAATGAAGTGTTCCACTAAGTTACAAGAGATTTGCATTTTATATTGAATAACAGTATTTTGCTGATGAACATTTTGAATATGATTTTGTACAAATAAAACCTTTACAGAACAAAAAAATATTATGTGCATTTCTTAGTCCAGAACACATTATTTTACCATTTATTTATCCAGTTATTTCCATTGTGAGTAGGAAAAAATGTTGTTGTTGTTGTTGTTGTTATGTGCCGTCGAGTCGTTTCCAACTCATAGCGACCCTATGCACAACAGACCTAAACCCTGCTCTATCCTGCGCCAACCGCACCGCCTCTGACAC